GAGCACTTTTCAAGATAAATTTTTAATTTGGGAAAATGCCCATTTCAGTATTTTCTCAGCTGCACATGTGACTTTCTTGGCAAATAATGTGGTAAGCATTCAGAATAGGCATATTTCTAAAAATCCTGCAGTCCATAAGTAAACATAAGTAACATATACAGTGTCTGTATATTCATGGTGACACTAAGGATGAGAATGTGTCCCTAAATACTAAACCACTTTTACATATATTTTCCATGTTCATTGCTTCATATGGTTTTGGAGCACAACTTTGTAACACAGAAACCATAATATTGTTATACGACATAAAAGTTCCTACAGAAATCAATTATTGTGCTGTCTACTTAAAGGATGAGTGAATCTGCAACTTGTTGGTCACAAATGTAAAATAACATTTTACAAGGTTTCTCTTAATGGATGCTGAATTTTCAAAATTTACAAATAAAATCTAAATGTTAGCAGAAAAGTACTTATGGCCAAATTTTGTCTCTCTCTTGAGAGAGAGGTCTGCCTGTGGACTGATGATGCTATTTTGTTAGATAGCAGAACTGATATTTTAATTCAAGTATAACACCTTAATAGATATAATAATAATTTCTAAAATAATCACATTGGTGCACAAAAATATGAATCCATTTATGGAAAGAACAGGGATGTGGCAGTATGCTTTATTCCAGTCAGTTAGTCCTCTGAACAGAACTAATGCCATTTTAATTATTATTTAATGTCCTGGATGACATTCTTATACATTATCTCAACTGTAAGTTTAATTTGTGCTTTGAAGAACCAAATATTTATTCTTTTTTTTTTGTGAATCCTGTTAGGGGAAGGACTCAGGGTCACGAGGGTTGGAAGAGGTTGTCATAGAAAGCATTCAAGGGCCAAACAAGATTTAAAAAGAACAGAACTAAATCCTCACAGCACATTTAGTAGGGCACTGAGCCTAATCCCAAAAGACTTACTGGGCCTATGGTACAAGGTGGCCAGTACAAATTACTTAAGTTCCTTGTCGTTTATCCGTTAAAAAGGCTATTTTGAAACTTACATTTCTTTAGCAAAATCTTTGGAGACCGTCTACAGAAAAGTACTGCAAAAAAAGGGAACTATGATTATTTCCTACTACAACTACTATTTAACAAGCTCTTAATTTACAACCCTTTTTGGGGTCTTCTCTGTTGATACTAACCAAGTCTACTGCCCAGGTGACTGTTTTCAACTGACTGAAAGTAAAGTTTCATCAGATTTCTGCAGGTAGGAGTTGTGATAGTTCAGATGCCAGACAAAGGACAACAGCTCACAAATTCACATGCACAAAACTTGGGCAGAAGTAATAAATGACTGAGAAACTTCTAATACATTTGCAGTTTATGCAGATGACTGTGATAACCTCTTATGCCATATGGAGGCTGTGACTAACAGCCAGGGGCCTTAAATTACATTGAAATTGATTCCTACACTGCAGCTTTCAGCTGTAAATTATTTCAAAAGACTATGGGCTTAAAATGAAAAGGAACGAAAATATATAAAAGCAAATGAGCTCTAATAAGTCCCTATTAATCTGAGGTAATAATGTGTATCATCACTGAAGCCCTATGCTAGTTATTGCCAGCTATCAGCTACAATGCCTTTTTTGAATGAATACAGACATCAGGTTGTGTACCAAATTCTCCCTTTCAATCCACACACATTACGTAACGATATTAAATTACAGTGCATAAGTGGCTAAACATTACTCTTTAAAATTTCTTGAATCTTGTAGCCAGTCTTAAATACTGCATGTACTCTATTAAATACAAGCTCACCCAAGAGACATAAACTGACTGAAGCCAGGAAATTCTAAACAAATGCTCAAGCTGACATTTTGTCCCTAACTTATATAACTATGTTTCATCATAGCTACTAAGGGTGCACGTCCTAATGGTGTTTCTTTCTTTATTTGTACAAATAATACTATTGCAGCAGTCAGAGCTTTCATTTAAGAAAGGAGGATATGTAAACTACTTTGAAACTTGTCCTGTGGTGGAAGGACATAGGTATAGATTTTCTCCTTCTTGTGCTCCTTTTTTGACTATTTTTGGATCCAGTAAAAAGAAAACAAAGTCAAGAAAAGATAAGCACTTAATGAAATTACCAAACTACTTCCAATTTATGCTTTAATAAGTTCAGCCAGGTTGTAATGGTGTTATTTTAACTACACCTCTTGAACTGCTATTGTCAAAATAAATCTGAAAACAATGAAGCCATAGTAAACAAAAATGCAAAATGAAAACTCAACAACCATAAGGGAAGAGAACGAAACCCTGCAAATAATATATAGCCTTGTACCCTAGAGACAGAAGAAAAAAGAATTCTGATCATCTATCATATTGAAAATTAAACTGTTAAGCATCACTGACTTTTTACAGTCAATTATATTTTCTGAGTATGTCTCCTAAAAGTACGCATTTCTGTGTCTAGCTCAGTAATACGCTAGCAACAGAACATTGGAGAGGTGGACTCTGGACAGATATGGTATCAAAATTACTGTAACTCAAAAAATACATCATTAGTCCTCAGAAACAGCATTCATTAACAATAAAATATAAAAGCGCTTAACCACTATTTAATAATAGGAATTAATAAAGATCAACCAACCAAACTAGGTTTCATCATATTTTATTGTACTACCAAGTGCCTACATAACTTTGGGCAAATCACAATTCTAGGGCTTGATTTTGTCCATCTGTTAAATGCTATACTCTTAGCTATACTGTATGTCTAGATTGGTAGAAGAACCCTCAGTTAGTGTGCAGACAGATATAAGCCAATGAAGATAAAACATCAAGTTATCATTCTAAAGCCTTCATCCATAAATGTTTTCAGCAACAAAATTGTACTAAAACTTTTATACAAAGTCATAATATATTATAGCAGATAACTGAACCCAGGGGTTTCCACAAGTCTGTTTTTGAGTAGTTGGGATATTCAGAAGAAGATATTCAGAACATCTGCATTGATGAGTCCTGAGCAGACCCACTAATCCACAAAGTGGAGTTAAAGTGCAGGGTGTTCATTGCTGCTGTGTGTGGCTTGAATATGAGCTAGCTGAAATCTGGAAGAAGCATGTCTGTACTTCTGCAGGGCTGTGCTTGTAAGTAAATTCCTTCAAGGCCATGGTGGGATGCTCACTGTGCTTAGACTTTGGAGCTTCAACCTCTGCCAGTGTGGGATCTCTGCACCATATTGCACTTACCAATGGTGTAGCCACAAGGCAGTTGTTTAAAGCCACCAGAGGACTTTCAGTAATAACAGGTTACGACATACAGTTAGCACCTTACAGCCAAATTCAAAGCCTTAGCTGCTTTTAAAGTATGGGAGATGATAAATTTTGCTAGTGATTTTTTAGTTGTTGTTTAATATAAAGTTACATAATTTGGTCCTTTGTTTGAAGGTCCATTCAACTATCTAAACAGAAATTCTCATACCATTGTAAATCCATTTGAACGTTTCTCTCTCTTCAACCTGTACTTTAAGTCTCAACAGACTCAGTTAAAACTAGGAAAATGGAAAAAGACTATCTTTCTCAATAGGAAAAAATTCTTCCTAGTAACGAGATTATTATGGCTCACCGATTGCCAACATCACACATACTGGCTGCTTCCCTAGTGCAAGAATCCCAGTCAAATCACGGTGCTGCTAGCAGAATAATACACCTCTCAAAATGCCTTGGGCTATGAACACAGTGCTGGTGCATTCCAGGCAATGTAAATAAAGCACTTCTATTTGTTCTGTAAAATATCAGCTCAAACTTGGCTAATCCCTTTTCAGGTTCAGTCTTTAACTTTGTATGAAAGACAGCAACAAACAATTCTGCAAACCTGAAACGGCATTTTTGGCAAACAGAGTATTTGAAAGACAAGAATCTTCTCTCTTTACCAGCAAAACAAGTGACATTATATTTGACTCTCTGTCGTTAAAAGGTATTATTTGGAAATTCAAGATGCTTTTTTTTCAACTTTTCATTCTAATTTTTCATTTTCAAATTTACCTATATTTCATTTAAGAGAGAGAAAAAACAGACAAGAATAAAAAGCTTTACTCTGAATCACTGAGGTTTTTTTCCCTGTTTTGATAATCACCACCATGACCCAAAAATCTTTCCCATCCAGCCGTAAAATAAAAAATACCAAGTAGTCACAAGTAGTTGGCTTGCTTCTCTATCCTACTCCCATTTTCTGCCATTTTGCATGACAAAGGCATTTGAAAAAGAACTAAGAAACAAACACAAAACCCCTTAACTGCCAGAATCAATAAATGCTCTGAAGTCTTTAAAGACATGAATTATGCATTGCTTGGATATTTTAAACTAAAATGGTCATGACAACAATTAATGCGCAAGAAAGATCAAACCTACGGTGGAAAGGATTTGGAAAACAGACACAGAATTCTTGATCACATTTAACTTTTGTGATGCCCTACTGCTCCACATAGCAGAGCTTCAGGGAATGCTCACAAGCATTTACTAGGATATGCACATTTCTTGCTCACTCTTTCTTTCTCACTCAGCTCCTTCTATCACACTACCCAGTCCAATTAATCTCCAAAGTTTTTGGAAATATTTTCTTTTTTTCTCCTGAACAGCTTATTGAACAAAGGCATAATAATATAAGTACACATCTCTTCCTGATATTTATTCTTTTTCATCCATTTCAACAAGGTCCAACAAAATAACCCTTTATATTTGCTCTAAATCTGGAAAAATCGTTGAACAGACGTGTTGTTTTTGGCTGAAGACATCACTAGCTGCTAGATGCCTTTTTCCTGCTAAAGGAAAGACTTTCCCAAATGGATCAAGGTAGAAGGTTTATCCAGGATTAAAAGCCTAAATTTGAAAACATAGCTTTGTGTTGTCCAGAGACAAAGTTCCAAAAGCCCTGAAAAAGGCAGAGGTGCTTAGGACTTTTACAAAAAAACATTTTAAGTTTCCTATGAAATCACTGTAGGGAGACCAGGATTATTTAAAAAGGATTATTTATTAAACATATTTCTTTACAAAGTACAATCAATGGTTTGCCTTAAATTCTGGGGTTTGGTATTTGCCTGTATGTACACAAAAGCTTATAACAGAAAATGTGTCTTGATTTTACACATGGGACACAATACTGAGTTGCCTTCATATTTTGATTCCTACCAACATAAGCAGTTGATAGTAACTTTCAGCTTATCTGCTGGGCTTTTTAAACTGAAGATGAAGCGACAACATTTCTGCAGAGTGTTGGTATTTACCAATGTACTCAATTATGACAACGTAGAAATGAATAATCTTTTGGGAAGTTTCCACCGAGCATGAGTGGAACATGACATTTTTTTGGCAGGTTACTGGACTATCCTTATGATCCTAAAAATCTCTTTTTGCAGTTATAAGATAAGAAGAATTGAAGAGCTAGGTAAGTTTAATAATACCCTATTAGCAGCAGTTGATAGTAAATGCAACATAAGGTTTGTTTTGTCTGTCATACAAGGATGTGTCCTAGCAGATACTACTGTATTGTTCTCTACTTGAACAAAAGTATCTGCAAGTATTGTATGTCTGGAAAAACAAAACAAAAATAAAGAGACAAAAAGCCATTTATTGTCATGAGTGACTATTGCCATCAGCTAATATGAATGCATTGCTAAAATTAGTGAAGACAGGAAAATGCTGTAAGGTAAATATATACAGAGTTAAAATACATTTCTTATCCACTAGATAGTGATTTTGTGGCACTGTGGTTTTCAGAATATAACATCTGTTGAGAGCAATGTAATTTTCAGTGCAAGCTAAAGCAAAAATACCTGCCCGCTGTCATAAACATGACAAACAAATCTGGAATGTTCAAAGTAAGTTCTTCCACTTCTCCACTCTTGAGGCACCTTTTTAAAGACATGGCACTTACTGTAAACCATCTAAAAATCAAGAAAAGCAGACACAATAAGCCTGAATTTTCCATAACAACTTTAAAAATCACTGCCAGAGTCACTTGCATACGTAAACGATGCCTGTGTAAGGCTTGCCAGCAAAGCATCTTTCCTGAGAACGGAGCTGGGACACTCTCTGTGTATCATAAGTGTGCGTGCTCAGAGCTGTGATCACTGTCGTGGCTGTCGTCGTTCGCTAGTGAGTCCCCTGTGTGCTGGAGACCAGCTGCGCCGATGCCAGAGAGCTCGGAGGGGAGCAGCGTGCCCTTTTTCACATTCACCAGTTCCTTCTCCCGGGCTGCTGCCCCTTGCTGGCCCCCTTTTACCCGCTTCCACTTCATTCGTCTGTTCTGGAACCAAACTTTTACCTTCACGGAAGAAAGACAAAACAAGAAAGTAAAGATGAGGTCACTGAAGGTAATAATCTGTAGCACAACACTTGATTTTTTTCCTTTTTTAAAATGTGCAACACACACACACACACTGCCTTTCTGTCTGTATGCTAAAAAGCTTAGCGAGCCTTCCCTGAGGAGCAGGCAATCCAGTTTTGGATAGGACATGAACCCTGGGGATGTGAGGATAATGACTGCAAAGGAGGGAATGGGGTTACCGCAGGAAGGCAGCAGGGCTATCTGCAGCAGTTAGCTCCACAGGAAAATCTCAGAACCCTTTAGAAAATATTTTAAAGTTCACGTGCTCTTGAAAAATGTATTAATGCTATTTTGCAGGCAGAGAAACACAGGCAAAATGGTTCCCATCAAGGGACCGAGCAGAAGAACCTACCTTTTCTGTAACAGAGAGCCTTGTCTGGTGGCAGGGACCCATGCTGCTGCCCCTCCTGCTTATAGTGCTTTTATTTACCCTTCAAAGGAGAGTAGTTACTATGGAAAACAACTTGCACTGGAACGTTTGCATTGCTTTCTGACTGTTTCTTAAACTGGTGGTGAGTTTCCTTTAAAATCTCTTTTTTTTTCTTTTTTTTTCTCGCTGAAGTATCTGAAAGAGCGTTTCTTACCATCAAAACTTACAACTTCCCCGTCTATTTCACAAATGTATTTAAATGATCCTAGTTGCCTGCTCCTTGATTCTACTACATTTAGCCATAGACCCTGGCCAAATTTTTCAGACAAATAAATACCCCCAAAGCCAGAGGGCAAGGCATTTATAAATTTGAGTCAAAATCAGCAGATGATTTCAGATGAAAATGGAAAAGAAATTCATAGCATGAAAGATTAAAAATGTATCTGTATTTAAGTCACATTAAGCCCCAAGATTTTACTCCATCTGAAACTCATTTCCCCTCCTCCTCTTCTCTGTGCAGAAATATATGGGGGGGAAGTAAACCTAAATTATTTGCACAGTTCTAAAGTACCAGCACTGCAAACCACAAGGACTTTTTTTTTCAATAGCCAAAAGAAAAGAAAAAAAAAAAAAAGATGCGCATAGCATCTGTCAAATATATTAGACCAGATTAAAGGCTGATTTCAAATCAACTTAAAATATTGTCACTGAAAACAGTATGAATAGAAGATTGCTGGGTTTGATCCATTTAGAGTTAATGTTGCCAAAATATCTCGTGCGTGTGTGTCTGTGCAGCTCTTCACATGAAGGTTCCACAGAAAAATAAACAATGTCTGCAACTTTTCACTTGGAAAGAAAGCAAGAAAGCTTGCAATGTTGGTGTATCCTCTGCTGTGCTTAGCAGAATGTGTTTCAGAATTTTAAAAGAAACAGCAAGGAACAGGCACAGCAGGACGTATTGTACAACATGAGTAACAGAGCCACAAAAATGCTGCTTTGCTGAATCTGTCTTATACATCCAGGAAACATGGCAGTGTTTAACCTTTACTACCACTTTGAATTTTACATTAAAATTTTACTACAATTGAACTGATAGTTAACACCACTATCTGTATGTACATATGTGGGAAGGAAGAGAGGTATATTTATTTTTTTATACTTTATATTCATATATATTTAACATGGGTTAAAGCCAATGCGAGCTGTTAAGGCAAATCACTTGGGAACAAAGCAAAATGATTCCAGGTTAGTTAAGAGCCTCAAAGCACAGCACACCTTTTCCTTTAGTCAACTCATCAGAGCCAAAGAATCTGGCTTGTAAAGTGAAATGAGTGTAAAGTGGAAGGTATTTATTACTGGCTGCTGTGATGTTGGGAATTATCATACTCGGGTCACATATCACAGGTGTTCAAGGAAACAGTGTCTCCAAAAGGGTGCACAGCATTAGTACAGCACTGGCAGCTTCCTGGGGGAAGTTAAGATGTCATTTTGTTTATTTTTGTTTAAGACAGTGAAATTTCTCTTGCAAAAGATACTACTCTACTGGTGCCAGACAATGCAGTAGATGCAACTGCAGTCATAATCAAAGTATCAAAAATAATACAGTTTGGATTCAACACAGTACTGCAGAATGTTATCACTCTTCTCCTGAAATAACAGCCTAGACAATTTTATTGAGTCAGAAGAATTGACAGGATTGGAGCGATGTTTAAAAGATTTAAGGAATTCTCCAGATATTTTTATGTCCTTGAACATTCACAGAGTAACTCACAGCACTGAAGGCCTAAAACAAAATAACAAAAATTGGTTATACACTTTAAAAGTGGTTATACAACTTTATAAGTGGTTACATCAAAAAAGTGGTATACAGAAAGTGGTTTCAAGAAAAATGAAAACGATGCATTTGAAGCAAAAATTTCAATATACAACCCAGATTCAACCTCCTTTAACTTACTGGAACAGGAGAGATCCATGTAAACCACCTTCTGGAGACACTCGTTTCATTTTTGAGGAACTTGAGGAACTAAAGCTTAAACTCCCACAGTCATTGTCAGAAACTGTTCTGGCTGGGACAGACACGAGCGGGATGGTCGCTGCCTGGCCCCTGATGCAGGTGCTCATTTCTGTTCTCCCACAGACAGAGCTAAACTCTCACGTCTGCTCATTTTACTTTTTTTACTCCCCTCTAATAAATTATTCTTTTTGGTTTTCCATTTTTTCTTGCAATATTTTGTTGCTGCTCCTTTTTATAATTCAGATCACTTCACAAAACCACAGCTAAGACTAATCTCCCTCCTTGAGCATTAAACCCAGCACTGTGTGGCACCAGCTTCCAGGTAATGAGTGGCTGAGGCCAGGCTGGGGAGTACCTCTTCATTCAGATCTCCTACCCTCAGACTAGCTCATCTGACCATGCCCTGAATTACCTCCACCATGGATGAATCTAGGTCAGCCTCTGTATATTAATTGATACAAATCAATTTAAAGGACAATGATTTCCCTTTTCAAGAATAAGTGCAAGATGCTTACGTAAATTTCTCAGAGGATCCAGCATGCAACGCTGTGTCTGCACATGACCCACTGTGTGGGAAACATGGCATTTAAGGAAAGTAGTGCTAAAAGGACTCCAGCTACCTTTGTGTGTACTCTCTTGACTGTAGGGGAAAGAGAGCAACCCTGGCATTCTTATAGGATAATATACACTACTGACTGGCATAGAGCCTGTCAGGCTTCCCATAAAGAGAAAACAGTAACAATTGAAAAAAGAAAAAGAAAAAAAGGTAAAAAAAACTTTAGGCTTTTTTATTAATGACTTCAAATAATCTGCATCTGATTTACTGAGACAATATCAAATAAGAAATTTTTTTATCTGGTATGTCAAAGATTATTTTCAAAAGCTAGAAATCAATTATAGTAAAGTTTATTATTGAAAATATTATTAGTTTATTTTGATGTCATTTGTTGTGTTAATGTACAGAGGGACTCTTATATGAGGGAATACACTAGATATATTTTATATATATTTCTTTATGTTCTCCATTATAAAGTACGGAAATCCACTTTTGACATGATCCAAAGTCTACTAATGTCAGTGTGAGTTTTTCCATCGAGTTCAATGTACTCTAGATGAAGTCTTTAATGCTTATGTGCTAATAATATGAGACAAGTCCTTCACTTGTTATTTCCTCTAGAGATCAAATTCAGATACTGGAATTCTGAACTTCCTTTGGAGCTAAGAGTCAAATATGGAGGGTATAGTTGTTACTGATATGTGATCCGTCTATATTTTAGTAAAGAGAAGGAAGTGAAGCAAACTTTGTGTGAAGTACTTCAGAGTAGCAGTTTATCTGGAATCATGTAAAAGTTTATCTGGAATCATGTAAAACTGTGCTTTTCAAATGCACAACTCATTTGAAGCTTACAGGTGTTGCACAAAACGTGTCAGAACAAAACAGCCTGAGAAACAAAAAGGAGAGAGGAGAAGGAAAGAGGAGAGAGAACAAAAGAAAGAGAGAAAGAGACAGAAAGAGCAAGGGTGAGGGAAAGGAGAGGATGAATGAAATAAAAAGAAAGAAAAAAATAAAACAAAAATAAACAAGAGAGAAAAAGTCCTTACTGAAGTGAACTTGAAAGACTCTTGAACTTTTTTCCAGTGAAAGAACTAGCTTGTGCCATGTAGAACTTTTGCAAAAATGACATACTTTTAAAGTGGTTTAAAGATCTGCTACGACAAACTTGACACCGTAGGTTTTATGAACCTTTTAATGCTGTTTTTCAAGTCTAAGTTAGCTCCAGCAGGAGCTGAGAGTGCTCACCACCTCCCACAATCAGGTCCTGATTGCCTATTACTGATTAAAATGCACTCCCTCTTCTCCACCCTCTGACTAGCACAACTTAACTGTACAGAGCAAGCATATGTATGTATGGAAAACAAAGGAAGTGGAGGGAAATGAACTATATTAAAGATGATGGTAGCATTAACAGCTGTTTCTAAATCAGCACTTAGGAGCCAGTCTATTGAGCACATCTGCTTACTGGCACGAAAGTACAGTCTCTTTTCTCTTAGTCAACAAGTTGTTTAGCATCTGCATCTCTCCATCTGATGATTAGACTGTTACTTAAGATGCAAGTAAATTATTTAATGTAGCACATCTCCTGATGTACAAGAGAAATGTTTTTGCTGTGACCAATTTATTTTAAGGTTACTCTGTAGGAATCATAGGAGGAGATTCAAAACAAGGAAGCTGACATTGTTAGTGTCAACATTACTAAAGTAATCATTACATACTTATGTATGTAAGCCTTAGTAGGCTTAAGGGCCACATTATGTCCTGTCTCGCATATATGTCTTTAATACAACCGTCATGATGTGGACCTTAACACATCATTTTGGTTCCAAAAGAGCATATCACCTAAACTTCTGATTTAATACTCCTCCTTCAGCAGAGCACTTCAGTCACATTAAGAATAACTGACTTCTACCATGCTCTGTAGAATGCAGATGCTTCCTTTTGATGTGGGACTTTAGCATCCTGTACTTACAGAGAAAAAGTAAACAGACAGCTTC